GAACGAAATGACAAAGATGAAAATAGTAGCGAGTAACTGGAGTGTTATTTTATAAGTACATACACATAAGAAGTACAAACCAAGTAAACAAGAGAAATCCATAGCCATACAATTTTCATCTTGATTTTTGAGTTTCTTTTTTTTTCGGTGTTCGTTCGAATGAAACGGCAAAACTTCAGACTAATGAGAAATTGCAGTGTGAATGGTTTCCTATTGCATTTTATATTTGAATTACTATAAACCATAAATTTATAGTTTTTTAAACCATTGTTAACAGACGTTTTTTTTTGTTTGTTATCAAGAAAAAAAATGCCGAACACAAAAAAAATGGAGTGTGAAGAGCTTTTTTGTGCAGAGGAAGTGTTGAATAGGAAGTGGGCATTAGTTGATATTTCGAATCAATTATATTATTATATTAAGGTGAAAGAAATGAGTGTTCAAACAGTTTGAATTAGACATTACCAACCAGAAAACTCCACAAAAACAAAATTAATATTTTGTTTCTCATCAAGTTTTTTAAGCTTTAAAAATAATAATGAATAAACTAAAAATTATAATTTTATTTATATCAATAATAAAACGGTGGTGTAGTCTGTTTTTATTGAAAATTGAAAACAAAAATACAACTATACTTTATTATAAATGTTGTTATTTATTATAGTTTAGTACTTTTAAAATTCAAAATTATTTTTTTGAAAAATCAAAAAGTTTTTATTGATAAGTTGTAAGACTTAATTATATAAATAATATTATTTAATATTTTATTTAATAAATTATTATTTCTGTTTTTTATTAATTAATTGTTATTTTTTTTATTCAATTCAATTCAAAACAAATCTCATTATTATATCAAAACTATAATAGAAATTTAAAAATAAAAAAAAGGTTTATTCAAACTAAATTATAGTTTATTTTATTCATTTAAAAGGTGTGAATTTCTTTGTTGAATTTTTAAAATAAATAATAAAATATAATTAAACAAAATTAAACATTACACTTGTGGAAAAACCTGTCGTGACTGGGATAGATCTATAATTTTGTAATAATAAAATTATTTTTATAGAATTTGTTATTTGTTATTGCCTAATTATTTTTAATTATCTTTTTTTAACCAATCAAATAAAAGCAATAAATCGAATATTTTACTATATTTTATAGTTAAATACCATTAATTTATTATATTTTTTGGTTTTCACGACAGGTTTTTTCCACTACAGTAAAAGGAAATATGGGGATGCTAGATAAAGGCTGATGCTCGTAACTATTGGTTAATTTTAATTGAATAATAATAAAATTACTATTAATTTTAATATAAATTATAAATAAAAAAATTAATAAAATGAAAAAACCAAAATAAATTAATATTAATTATTTATTATTATTAATAATTAAATAAATGAATATTAAGATTAGAATTCCCCTTTTTCTCAGCATCCCACTTTTTCCGTTAACTGTAATGTAAAACTGATGTAAATTATATCTTTATATTATGTCCAGATATCTTAAATCAAACACACATTCAAATCTTTTCGTAATGAGAATAGATTCTTTTAAAATTTAATTTAATTTTTATTTTTTTAATTGAAACAAATTATCAATATAATAAAAGATTGACTTTGAGCAACAATAAATTTAAAGATTATATTCTATATTTCTTTATCAAATTCAACTATGCTACAAAAACGTTGAAATACACAACATTTAATGAGTAGTGTTATGTAACTTCAAGGCACATTACTTTAAAAACAAAGATAACTCTTAATTAAATCGTGCGATTTATTAAATACAAAATGTGTGTTTTTCATACAGTATAAAAAGATTGGAATTTTCTTTTAAAAACTTAAAATATCAAGATATCTTAACAAAAATTTAAGTTCAATTCAATTTTCGCATTTTGTAAATGGTTTCCATAATGTTTTTGTATTTATAGAGTTGGTGATAATTCTTTTGACTTTTTGTTGTACAATCTCCGACAAAAACGAATTCAGTTGTTTTTCAGCCTGTCGAATTATTCAGACTTGTTGGTTTTTTTCAGTTTGGGCTTCCAGGCTAAAAGACAACAAATTGATTCAGATGTTTATTAAACCCATTTCCTGTATTTTAGAGTCAATACAAAGCCACGTACACTGACCTTTCTCTTAGAGTATCAAATTGCCATTTAATTGATTTCAACGCTTCAAATAATTGTTTCTTATTCACTCTTATAGTAACTTTTATAATTAAATATACTATTATTATAATTCGATTATTATCAATACTTTGTGCGTAAAAAGATTGAACCTTTGTTCAAACTACATGGTATTCAAAATTCAATTATCGGGCACTAACCAAATAAGCGTCGATTATTTAAAATGCTTTTCCAAATATTAAAATTATAATAGTTTCATTTATTATTGGGAAACTATTTGAAACCAATTCGGTAACAATGCTTGCTCTCTCAAATTGCAAACCCTTAATGTCTTCATGTTTTTCGCATAATTTTTTATAGAAAAACAATTAACAATATATAGTATAAAAAGTGGAACTTAAGTAGTTCCCTACAACAAAACAATGGCACATTGGTCAGTTGATATATTTACTCAACGATTTTCTAGATAAAATAGACATATAATTTGCCACATAGTACGTTAAATTAAAAAAATAAAAACGTTTTTGATATTTAATTGTTGCCAAAATATGAATTCATCATCGAGCCTTCATCGTGAATTTTTGTCAAGTTTTTTGGCAAGTTCGAGACTTTTCAAACCTTTTTCACGCGAATCCAAAATTAAAACAAGGTTTGTTCTTATTTGAAAATACCCCAACTATTGGAATATTTACTTTATTATCGTAACCCTTTTCAATTCCGTAACAATAAAAAACTTCTGTGCACCTTTGTTCGATGAATACTTTTTGGACGCTCCAAAGGCCTCTACTATTTTCCTCTTCTTCAATTCGGCGTTTTTGTTGGCGTTCCGGTTTTTAAGGTGATCAGTTGTCAGCCCGATAACTACGAAATAATGGGGAAAACAAGGTGTTGCATTGTTTTATTTGATTTCATTTATTTTTGTCTTGAAGACAAAACAAGACTATGCCGACCACTATTCAAAAATGCCACATTCATTGAGTTATATGCGACAATCCAATCATTATTTAACACAATAGGGGTTGCCTGGCACAATTTTTAACCCCAAATCTTCTCTAAATCAGACGATTGTTATATATGAATTGGAATTATTTTCAATATCGACTGATTGATACCTTTTGAAAAACCAGCTTGAAAAAGAGTTGAAAAGGTTGTGAATAGAACCGCAAACTAACAAGATCTTATTGGCCAATTAATTTATTCCATTTAGAAAAACGAAGAAGTTGCAATGGAGTGTAAAACACTGGTTTTTCAAAACTATAAAAGCCGCTGAAAACTGCCTTTCATCATGCAGACCGAGTCCTCGAGTGTCATCATCGAAACATCCCACATCTCAGACATCGAAAAGGGTAAGCGCCAAAGGAAGACCGGATTCCCTTGGAAAGAAGATGAAGATCTTCGTCTGTTGAGCGCAGTCAAATCTTTAGGGACTAAACAATGGGTAGAAATAGCTAAATTGGTCGGCACACGTTCGAGAAAACAGTGTCGTGAAAGATATGTCAATCACATCAGTCCTTCTATCGACAAACGACCATTCTCGAGAAAAGAAGACGACGCCATTTATAACGGATTTTATTTACTTGGAAACAAGTGGAGTAAAATCGCGAAGAACTTGGAAGGACGCACAGCACGCTCAATTAGAAATAGGTATAAAGTGCTTGCAGTAAACCGAAAGTTGTCCTGCTTCTCTGTTTCAAAGAAAAGCACTTATGAAATAGTCACTGGAGGTAATGTTTGGTAACTACCCTTCTTGTAATTAACTCTGATTGTATCAACAGTTTAATAAGCTTTAGAAAAGTATAAAATGCTTTTTCTGGTTCAAATTTGGTACATTCTGTAAAATTATTCATCATCGTTAGTAACAACAATAGAGTCAGTCTTTTAACGTTATCTGGTCTCAAACGTTATCTGGTGGACAAAAAATAGATTCATTTTTGTCTAAACATCGGGCATTAGGTAAAACGTGAAAAAACCCGAAACAATTGGGATGGGTTTTTGGGACTGCTTCCCGAATTATTCCCATTTTTATGATCCAAAAGGCACCAGATAACGTTTGAGACCAGATAACGTTAAAAGACAGACTGTAGATATTTTTTTGGATTAAGAAATGTAACTCCTTGGTGCTTTGTTTTATAATTGTTTCATTAAGAATACATTCAAGTTTTGCAAAAGAATGCCAAATGGCTATAAACATTTATTTTCAATTGATTGATTGAGTAATCAAAATTATTTGATGAACACTTGTTAACAATAAGAAGATTTATGACGAAATAAATTAAGTTGAAAACAAGGAGTTAGAAAAAACACCTTTTTATTTTTTTCTATTATTGAAAAGTTGGTGGATTTATTTTCACACACGGATGACTCTTTTTGTGAATGAAAAGTGGGGGTGCAATTGCATTTGGTTCAGAAAATTTTCAAACCGACTTTTTTAAATATTTCAACAGATTGTTTCATTTTCAAAATGATTTTCTTAAATGCCGGGGAAATACAATATATTTTTATTCGGTTATTATAACAGAAATGTCTTTTCGCTCAAGTGGCGTTAATAATTTACTTATTAAAACAGCAAAAATGAAAATCATTCGGCCGTTTGTTTTACCTGTACGTTACTTACCGGTTTTTCATTTTAATTATATTGTTTATATTTTTATGCTTAATAAGCCTGATACTTTAAAACAGCTACATTATAATGATTTGCCTTATGAATGTATCTCACATCAAATCGTTTCGATTTTTTCATCAATGCAGTATTAAAATACCAAGTTGGATGTGTTTAAAATAATAGTGTACTACTCTAAATACAGCGTTTCAATGATTTATCAACTCGATAAATTATGATCTATTTGATTTATTGGCTCTTTTCCATATTGCATGTTAAATGTGTTGTAACAGTTATACGTTATTTGGTTGTAATAATAAATTCATTCTGATGCAACAAAAGTCATACAAATTATTGTTTACGTTTATTTCAATCTCACTAACAAAGTACACCATTCCTTACATGTAGGTTATATATTCAGATGTTGAATGTGAACTACTTATCTCCAAATTTTTACACCAAAAAATGTCTTCTCGACAATGAACACAAAAAGTATCGACTAAATCGAATCTTTTACCGTGTCGCGATTTACATCGAATACCTCAAGGAAATTAGCTTGTTCAATTGATTTCTTTAATTCAATACTCTTATTTTCCCTAAACCATACGTATAAATCCCTATCATACAACTGAATAAAATTAAGAGACAATAAATCAAACAAGGGTTTCAACTTTCATTCCATTTCAACATGTTTCTCACAAAATGTTTCACGTCAGTGAAGACGGTCGTACACGGGTTTTTCGTCAACTTCTTCCCAAAGAACTTTCCAAAGCGCAAATTGTTACCTTTGCTCTTGATGCTTCTTATTGAGGCGATGTCGCAAACCATCATAAATTCGTATGTTGGGTATTTAATAGTAGACATGGGGATGGCTTCAACGACCAATGAATCTGGGAAATATAGTGGGTGGTTAGTCTCCTCCTTTTCCATTGCGCAATTTCTGAGTTCGTTTTTCATCGGTTCGCTCTCCGACAATTTTGGAAGACGGCCGATACTTCTAGGTGGGACTTTTGGTATTGCAATATGTAACGTTTTGTTTGGGTTCTGTACGAACTATTACTATGCCATCTCAATCCGACTTTTGAACGGGTTTTTAAATGGTAACGTCGGAGTGATCAAGTCATATATGGGAGAATTGACTGATGACTCCAACAGAACGCAAACATTCAACTTCATAGGGCTGACATGGTCTGTCGGGGCTGTTTTTGGTAACTTTATGGGTGGTGTGTTGTATAACCCCGTCAGACTCTACCCGTCCCTTTTTGGCTCGTCTCACTTTTTTTCCTTGTTTCCCGCTTTGTTACCACAACTGGTCGTCACCTTTTTGGGGTTCTTTGGACTTTCTCTCGCGTATTTCTATTTACTTGAAAACGAAAGAAAAGTCGACGAGCATGCGGTGCAGTCGAATAAGTTCTACTCGATCCTCAACTCGCTCAAAAACACGTTTACTGGGATGTTCCACTTTTTTAGAAAATCGAACTTGTGGAGCTTGTTTTGCTCGTTTGAGTACTTTTTGTTGGGGTTTGGCCACACGACATATATGACCATCTTCCCGTTATTAATGATAGCGTCTGTCGGCAAAGGTGGGTTTGGGCAGACAACAAAGGAAGTTGGCTACTTCTCTGCTATATCGAGTGTAGCGGGGTTCTTTACAACAGTGTTTTGTTATAAGCCATTAGTACACCTCTTAGGAATTCGCTACGGATACTTCTTCACGACGTTTTGTACGGCGTTGTTCTATGGAATGTACCCATCACTTGAAGGGTTGAATGGGTCGAGTGTTCCCGTGAAATGGCTCTTTTACTCGCTCAATGCTTTTTGTTGGAATTTAGTCTCCCAATGTTCATTCAGTTCAATATTCACTTTGATCGTGAATGGTGCAGATAAAGATTCGTTGGGATCCGCAAATGGAGTGGCTCAAAGTATGGCGTCTTTTGGTCGAGTCTTAGGTCCTATAATGATCTCACCATTGTTATCTTGGGGGCTTACAAATGGGTTGTCGTATCCAATCAACCAATACCTTCCTTTCTATATCATCACATGTATCGGGCTCTTCAACGCCTTTCTTATATTATTAACACCACGCTCCCTCAGTTTCACAAAATCTGCCAACAAAAGTGAAGAAAAGAACTACACCGAACTCAAAGAAACAAAAATCGAACTGGAAGAAGAAATCGGAAATGAGGAAAAAACGGCAATGGATTTGGATCATGCAATCACAACACCTTCACCTCTCCCAATCCATCCTTCAAGTACAACTCCGGATTCTAAAATTGATTCAAAATAGTTTATTTATTACTATATGATTAGTATTATCATTGGGTTTGTGTTCAAGCAGAGGTTTCCAAAATCACAATGCTAATTACCCACGTCACCATTTTATAACCAAAATGTTCATTTTCTCTTATAAATTCGTACGTTATAATACCACATTTTCGGCAATAATTATTTTGGAAACCTCTGTGTTCAAGTATGTGCTCTTCTATATATATAGTTTAATTATAATTAATTTATAGTATACTTTCCAGAACTATTCACTAGTAACAAAATAATTATTAAATTATTATAAAGAGACTAGACAACACATTCATTCACTTCTGTAACAGAATCTGTTCATTTGAACATACAACTTCCTTTAAAACACCGATTTTGGCAGTTGTGGCGTGTCTTTCGTTTTAGCAGAAGACCCCAAATTCTTGAGTTCCAACACTTTATCAGACACTGTTTTGCATATTCTAATATGTGTGACTTTAAGTAAATTGATCTGTTGTTCTTCATCAACACAAAGATCTTTGAGTTGTTGGATCTTTTCTGTGAACGACTTGATATCACTTTCGACTTGAAGTGTCAATTTTTGAACCGACTCATTCTCGTTGGTGTATCTCCTCTCTTCTGCGCCTCCATTTGTTATCACTTCTTTTGCCATTTCCTCTGTTTTCAAGCACTCACTCTCAGCTGTGTCTCTTTTTCTTTTGATGTCCTTTTGTGTCTCGATTGCTTTGTCAAACGTTCTTTGAGTCTCCTTCAAAGTGGTACCCTTTGTTTCTGCACTTTGCGAAGCGGCAACGTGTCGCTGATACACATTCTCGCATTGTCGAAGAACTCCCTCACACAAGATATACATTTGGTTGTTCGCCTCTGTTAACGTCTTCTCCTCTTTTGTTCGCTCCAACTCGCTTTGTAACCTCCCCGCCTGATTTGTTTGTGCACAGATTTCTCCGTTGATCTTATTCAAATTGTTTGTTGCTTCGATCACCTTCTGGGCAAAGGTGATATACTCGTCACACTTCTTGATATTCTCCACCGTCGCCGCAGTGTCTTTTGCGCATTGCGAGATACTCTCGAGTGTTTGTGTTGTTGTTTCTTCCACACTGTATTTCTCTTTCTTCACATTAGTGACCTTCTCTGTCAACGCAATGATACTCCCGTTGTATTTGTCGACAATTGGTTGTTGCGCTGCTTGTAAAGAAGTCAGTCGTTCGACCTCCTCTTTCTGTTCTTTCAAAGTCTTTTCTTTACTCTCCACATCACTCTGAGTATTCCTCAAATCCGCTAAGATCTGCTTTTTCTCCTCTTTAAACTTCTCAGCCTCTTTCAGGTAGTCGACGATGGCACAACACATCTGAATGAATCGCGTCTTGTCCACAAAAGCAATGTCATTCAGTGCATCAAAGTCTTTAAACCCCAACGCAAACATTGTTCTTGTCAATACTCGTGTATACAGCGCCCGATTATTCTTCGCAGTCTTCTTGATTTTGCAAACAGAGCTCACCAAGATGTTAAACACTCTTCTTGCAGTGGTTGCGGATGGTTTTGCAAAGTCGATATCTTTAAATTTGCTCCGATACGTCTGGTTGAAGAAGTCCGCTATTTCTCGCGATGACATCACACTCATTCTTCTTCACAATACCTTATATAATTCTCTCTTTTATTCTTCTCTTTTTGGAAATGAGATATTAATTAATTATATTATATCTATTATAATTATTATCTAATCTACTAAAGGCATATTATAAATATAATTCTATTTATAATATGCCTTTAGCAGATGGTTATAAGTAAAATATAATTAAAATAAACCACTTTATTGTTCAATACTCTGGATTCAAATATTACAGTAGGGAAAATGGACCCGGTACTTTAGAAATGAATCCGAACCTTTAGTAAAAACTCCTAATGATTAGGTCTTCTTCCCGTTGTAATAAATGTGCACAAATTTGAAACGACCAATCATTTTAACCCTTTGAAAAAAACTGAAACTTTACAAAATTGTCCAATCAATTTAAACTAATTTCATTTTTCTTTTTTTCAACATTTTTGTTTTTTTCTCTCTATATTTCATTGCGCCAAAACACTGTTAAATTACGGGAAATACAGATTTGTAAAAATATGAAATTTGAACATTTTCTATTATAATTAGTGTTAAAAACCTTGTTTATAGAAAATGTTTTTTTATATGGGAAAGTCTTTTCCAAGTAGCAATCAACAAGTAAAATAATTTACTTGTGAATTAAGATTATTTCTTTATCATATCTTAAACTTTGGATTCATGAAAATGGTATTCAACAGTCCAGTGTTTATGGTAACAAATATTGAGGTGGTGAATTATTGTTATTTTATGAAAATATTTTGACAACCTATGATGAAAATGAACCACTTTACATGTTTACGTTATCCAATATGGCACTAAAGTGACTTCCCAAGGTGTGCAAGTTAGTTTAAGGGTGTGCAAGTTAAGGTATAGTTCATTTATAATTTTTTTATTAAAAAAATAGAATCATTAATTTTTTGAAATTTTGAAAAAAAAAGATTATTTTTAGTTTAATTATTAATTATAATTTCGAAGTTATTACTAAATTATACTTTAACTTGCACACCTTGTGACGTTGCAATTTTTAACTTTCACACTTCGAATACAATTAATTAAGCAACAATTTCGGGAAAGCGACCCAATGGAAATTATCGAAGGACCAGTTCTGGACAACAGTACACATCGATTTGTAACAATGAACTGCACCTATTAAACAGACTATTTGTTATTGTTTGCTATAAAATGGCACAGAAAAAAACATAATGTTTATCATACTTCTTCTTGTCGCTTTAAATTACGCTGACACAAGAGACATCGACATTTATTCACGTCTTGAAACAAAACAGTTTTTACATTAAACACATAGACAAACCATTACCCAATTTTTATAATTTAATTTGCTTTTTGTAGTTTATTAATTCAAGCACCAAAGGGTTGTGTGTTTTTTGAAACAATTTGGAAACGAATAACATTTTTTAATAAAATGTTTTTGAACTATAATTTAGTCTTGCACGCCCTTTCCCTGTAAAAAAGACTAAAAATTTTAACTTGCACACCTTGGGGAAGTCACTTTATATAATAATTTTATGTTGTAATACCAAATTGTTCATGTTTTATTTCCAAACAGTTTAAAATGTTATTACATTTTTTGTTTTTAAATGTTATTTTAAAAAAAATAATTTATTTAAATATAAATAAATATATTTATTTATATTTATAATCTTAATAGTTTTGGATAGCTTTATTATATATTCAGGGTTAATGAGTGATTAATTAAAAATTATAATCATTTAAAGAAAAAATGGAAAAAATCAATTTATTTCATACTGTTTGTTTCATTCGTATCTGTTTTATTAATTCGTTCGTACCCATTAACAAAATAGAAAGCAACAACCAGAGTGATACAAGACCTCTCGAGTAGTATTACTATGAGAGGTGTCTATAACTGGGTTTTAAAACCCAGTTAAAACAATCAACATCTGCTGCGGCTTGGGATAAGAGGTGATGATCGACGAGAAAAAGGCATCTTCTTAAAATTTAAACAAATTGTTGTATTTTTTGTTATTTGGATTTTGTTATTGGTATTTTCTTTTATGAATATTGTTTTTGATAAAATGTTATTTGAATTTTTGTTATTTAAATAATGTTATTAAAATAATGTTATTGTCGATTAAGGGTTTTGTCCCAAAAATGTATTTTTTTACCGTTTCACATTTTTTACTAAAGTTGCCCTAATTGTTCTAATGATCCTAGTTCATTTCTCCTACTGTACCATTATAATTATTTTTTTTAAATTATTAAAATAGTTTCGATTTATTAAAAATTATATATAAAAAAACCTTGCAAAAGACGAAGTTTTTCATAAGGTAGTTACAATACTATTTAAATGATTATATATAATTATATTATATACAATTGAAGAATTATTTTATCAAACTTAATAACAATTCTATAATAATAAACTCAATAATGAATAGAATGAAATGATAGGATGACTCTTAGTAATTATAATTTTTTATTCATCATCATCGAAATAAGTACTAAGTGGTACACCTCGGACCGCTTTTGGTTTTGTGAGTTCTGAAGGTACAAAGATGTCTTTTCTTTCCATTGGAGTTGGGTTTCGTGGACTAGCAAGAAACACCTTTTGGTTCTGTAATGCGGACATTGGAGTGACTTGTCTGTAAGGTTTACTTGAAGATGGTCTTGTGTACGTTGGCATCACATCTTTAGGTGTGAGTGTCTGACCAATTGAAGAACTTCGCGAGTTGGACTTCGACGAAATGAGTGTAGTCAATTGCCGTTGAGCAAACTTTGAGAGTTCAAGTTCACTTGTTTTCATCTCCTTTTTCAAGTCCATGACAATGCCAGCTATTTCGCCAAACTGCCTGTTTTTCCCGAAACTTGGAGAAGCGGATCTGTTGAGTAATAAAGTGATTAATTGGTCGTGTCGCGTAAGAAGAGTTTTTGGGATGTCCACAAAGCGATTAAGAATTTCCTTTGTTTTCATCACATTAAAAAAAGTCGATGCCATTGTGTCGAATGTTTGGAGGAGTGAAACAATAGTTTTAAGATCGTCTCCCATGAACAAGAAAATGCTTTGAACGATTGTTGCAATGTACTTTTCAAGTTGATAGAACACCGTCGCATACATTTTCAGTAACACATCCGTCAGTTGGTAATTCAAAGAGTTCCCAAAATTCTTTGGTGACCCCCAATTGACAGTTTGGAAGTCCACAAACGCTTCTATAAGTTTCTTAGTAGTTTCCAGAACTATATATCTTCTCTTTGGATAGACCAATTCCGGTAAATGAGTGTCTTCGGTGATAAGCATATTATAATTGGAGTACAAAAGAGAATACCAGTCCAGCATCTTAGCCAAAGTCTCTGTCAAAATTGTCTGTGGCGTTCGTATTAAACCGCACTTGGGGACGTTCTTGTAAAAGACGTTTGATGTTCCTCTTAGTGTTTCTAAAAAGAGTTTAGAGTCGTCTTCGGTGAAGATTCTGTAGATCACTATCAAGAGTTTGCTATACCCAGACTCTCTAAGGGCAGACTCTTTTATGCGATCGTATATAGCGGTCACTATCAATCGACTAGAAAACGGGTTTTGATAGAGTTCGAGCAATTCGTTCGTCTCCTCGGCATTATCTACAGTGTCTTTGTTACTCGTCAGTTTAGCAACCAGTTTTTCTTCCTTTGACTTTGTCAAGTACCTTAATGTATCCAGAAATGCCATCTTTGGATTTCTTAGTTATTCTCTACCTATTTATTGACTCCAAAAATTCATCACACGAATAACACACGACGCTAAGAACAAAACAACAAGAGAAATTTCTCTATGGTTTTTGGCCGAGATTTCTTGGCTGTCACAAAAGTTAAAGGCCTTTCAAATAGTGTTAATGTTCGATTTTGTGTTCTAAAAAATGGGGGATGTATAGTTCAATATAAAATAGATAAATTGTGGACAATTATTTCTACGATGATGCATTGATTTCTCTGTGACTTTCTTCTGCTCAATTTAGTCTTATTTTCATGAGTAAAACGGCAAATAAGACTTTAGTCTTCTATCCTACTTTTATGTACAAAATTGCCAATGGAATTTTCGTACTTCTTGGTGAAAAAAAGACGAGAATAATAATTTCAAATCACTTAACTTTTTTTAACACTGGTGTGACTTGTGCTATTCATATGCCCTCATTTCAGGAAATAATAACAAACCTATGCCAAAACTATTTTACAAACATTGGTGTGAGTCTTTTTTTATCTCTTTATTTTTCTTGGAATATTTTTTTCGAATTTTTTGTTTTGGTAGCGATTACCTCTTGTATTATAGTTATTTAATATCTTAGATAAATTAGTCTTCACTGGTAGTTTTTTTTTGAATAACAAAATGTCTGACAAGAATAAACATTTTCCTACTGTTTTTAATACGGAACGGAATTTGACATTTTGACTTTGTCCTGACTTCCGAGGAAACCCACATTTAGTTTTTGTTTCTTTAGACACTTTTTTCTTGTTCTGTTCTGGTTATGGAAGTCATAAACCTTGTAAATAATACACTCCACCATCATTATTTTACTTTCCAAAACGATTGATTCTTAATAGTAAAAATACAATAAAAATGTATTTATTATTAATACTTTCAAAGTCATGAGTATTAATATATACATATACAAGTCATGACCACTTCAAGTAACAAACAAGTCCTAACCAAATCTCCTTCAAAGTGATTGTCTTTCATCTTCTTTTTTTTCAATCAAAAATACCATCTTTAAACTATTATTTTATTATAAAAAAATTATATTTGAAACTACAACATTTTAATAATTAGTCAATCAAATCTTATAACTCGATGTGAATTGCTCAAGGAGTTTCATCACTTTATTGAACTCTTCCATCACTTCTTTCTTCTCCTTTCCGAGTTCTTTGTCCTTCTCAAAATCGCCGAAGATCTCTTTGCGATATTTGTTATCGTAGTACTCTCCGAGACCCATCTGATCCTTCTCTTGGTCCACTTCGAATTCCTCCTTCTCGTTCTTTTCGACAAGTTTCTTTCGAATCACGTCGTCCCACGTTTGTTCTTTAATTCGTCTTCTAATCATGTCTTCCAAGCTTTCTGTTTGTTGTTGAGTCATTTGAGGAGGGGGGCGGTTCGTGTTTTTGAAGTCGATATCCAACTCGACCAAAGAGTCTGCGGGTCTGTCATACGCGGCAACCTCTCCAAGCATCGACCAGTGTTTTTTCTTCAAATTCTCCTCTTCTAATTTAGTGATTTTGCTCTTAATCAGTTCCTTTTGTTTCTCAAAGTCATTCTTTTCTTTGCCATCTCTCAGATGTGATGGGTTAATCAAGTCCTCTTCATCGTCGTCTTCATCTTCATGTTCGTCGTCTTCTTCCATTTGTGGATTCTTTTCATTCTCTTCAATAACATTTTCAAGATCGTCAAGGTCGTCGTTCATCTTATTAATATCAATCTCCTCGTCCATATATCCCAAGTCTTCATTGTCTTTGACCTTTTCTTGTGACTCGCTTTGTTCACTATTATCACTCTCAGGAACTCTTTTCACATTCGGTAATTCGGGTTCTACTCTTGCACTGAATTTCTTAATTTCTTTCATCACCTTCTCGTTGAATTCCTTGATCTCGTAGTAAATTTGTTCGTCTGTGAAGCCGTCGATTATCACACCTTCAATATTATAGTCTAAAAATTATTCCTTTTCTCTCTTATATATTAAAAACCCTTAACTCCTCAATACTCCAACAAACACTTCAATATGAATTTCATCGCCTCTCGTATTTTCGTTTGCACGTCCTTCTGCACTGATGGAAACAGTTGTGTCGGGTTCTCAACAAGCCCACCAATCAGTCTTTTGACGTCCTCGCACTCCATTTGGTTTTAATGTTCCATCAAACCCTACTTCTCGGTCTTCCCGTCTTTTAAGATTTTGTCCTGCTGTTTCTCTTCACATTCTTAAAATAGTTTTCCCCGCAAGTGTGCCATAGTGTCTTATAAAAAGAGTAAAAGAACCATAAAAAACTATAAAAGAACTATAAAAAAGAGTAATAGGAAACCCAAAAGCGTTTTTTAGACTCGATTAGTCTTTTTGAGACCCTATTTGCCTCTTGAAATCCTGGTGACCCGCATTCCTGAGAATCTTTTCTTTTGTCTTTGCCTGGAGCTTCATAAGAGTGGATTGTGAGTCGTCAATATGAGTAATACGTTCACTCAAAGGCAAGGCGTAGTTATTTGAGTTCTCTCCGAGTCCAACAGCGGTATTGTCGGCGCTCATTGTAATTTTTGAATTAAATCGTTTACACACTTCTACGGCTTGTGGGAAGCTCTCTGGTGGGAACCCTAACATTTTCGAAAGGATGACAACACTCACAAATCCGTTGTCGTCCATATATCTTCGAACAAATGATCCCGACGCCAAACTGTCTTCGTCAAACAAACAAAGAATGTTGTGTGACAAAGTGATCTCCTGTATTGGGACTTGTGGTTGTGGTTGTCCCATTTTCGGCTTTGAGGAGACACTTTTCTTCTGCTTTTTATGCATCTGAACGTCACTAGTTTCCTTTTGGACGATTTCCTCGGGCTCGTAGTTCGACGCGCCGTACACTAGCTTCGTCACTTTTTTCTCCTTGTGCTCCTTCTTCGTCGTTTTTTTCTTGTCCTTCTTCAACTTGTCGGCAACAGGCTTTACGTCGTGCTCAACTGCAACGGCTGGCTGTTCGGTGTTTGTGCTCATTGAGGACTCTCTTTACAGTTCAAGCTTCCATTCGTTTTTTCTTTAAACCTGAGGGTTTCATTTCTTCTTTTATTATTTATTTGGAGTTACAACCTCTTCTCCCGCTTTTTTTCATTTAACTGCACCGTTTTGTAATGCCTTTTTCCTTCTTTTCTTTTTCCTGATTTCTTGACCATCTTGAACATAGTATCCCTAGAATTGTGGGCTTTTGATTTCCTATTTTTTATAATATATTTACCAGTTGGTATAGTTTATTTTCTTGATCCTGTTCTTGGTGTTTAACACGTTAAAGACTTTAAGTGCTAGAAGCACTCAATTCCACTTCTGAAAAATGTGGATTATTGTGCAAAAAACGTTATCTTTGCTTTCTAACAATTTGAGTTCACGTCGAAAATGGCGTGTTGCACGTGTAAAAAACTATGGAAGAAATCATTTGATTTTGGGGGTTTTGGCGAGGAGCTTTTCTGCATTCTGTTTGGCCACTTCTTTTCTGAGCCTGATGATCTCAGCCCGCTTGCACCTCTTTGTTGCTGTTTTGGTTGGTTTGTCGTATGCAGTGAGTTTTTGTTCATCCTCGGGAGTGACAGGTAAAACATCCAGGTACTGCAACAGATCGTACCCGAGAACTGGCCGCAGTGACTCGGCTCTTGTCTTTGGCTCTTGCATGTAATGGATCTGGCTTTCCTCAAAAACAACCGCAAACGCGTTCAACCCATTGACACTGTTAACATCAAATTCGTATTTCATCGAAACGGTGAGCGCTTTTTTCATCAGATCAGTGCCAATAGTCCTCATCAACTCGGGGTGTGCAATAAACGCACCACCAAGTTTTTTGACAACTTCATAATTCGAGCTGTTCCCAGGATTAGCACACTCAGGGAAACTCTTTTTGAGGTTGTTGTATTGGTCCAAAACGTTCTTTTCAAGAGAAGACAACTTGAACTTGGGCCCGGTCTCGCTCTGCTCATCCAAGTTTTTCTGGAGCTGTGAGTAAATCGTGAATGCCGCAAAGTAGTTGTGGCACCGATACACCAACGAGTTGCACAATGTTGTAAAGAACTGGTACGCCTCGTTCACATCGACACCGATCATCTTCTTCACAAACGCGGTATATTTCGCAATTCGGACATCGAAGTCCATCTTCCCTCTCTCGAATGCGGACGTCGTCTTGTTGAGTTGTTCTGTATCGACCAAATACGAGCTGAATGGCACATTAAATAGCATTTCCGCGTCAATTTCAGTCAATATATCTGCGACGATGTTTTCGTTGATGTACGCAAGTCGTATTTTCTTTGCCTGCACTTTTTTCTGTTTCTCTTTATTGCTCTGCATTTCCATCTTTTTTGTCGCAGCCGCAGTGTTGATGCACTCGAGGTCAAAAACAAGAACGCTGTACCTGTTCATCCACTTCACTATGTTTTCACAAAACACTGACCTGAAGTCTTCATTATAGTTCTGGTACCAGAAAAAGATCAGGTTCATCAAGGTCTGACTGATCTCTGATGGATCGCTTGGGTATGCCTTGTATTGCTCGTCCGTCTGACAATCAAAAAGCGAGAAAAAGAGCTCGCTGATGACATCAGCGGAGACAAGTCGTTTGTTTTTGAATGGGAACGTTATACAATATCCCTCAATAAGCAAGTTGTTGTAATTCACACCAGCCTCGTCCTTTGAGATGTCTCTGTGGTACGTCAGTTCAAGTTGTGCTTTCAAAAGCTCCCTGAAATTGAAAAGCTCTTTAATGTAAGAATTGGTCACTCGTATTGGTTTTTCTTTTTCTTTCATTTCCGACTTTTTCTTTGGGATGTAAGTAAAGACATCCGTGTCAATTTTTTTAAAAAAGTCCGCTGCCTTGACCACTTTCTTTTTGTCTGAAGATTGAAGATAGTTCAACGCTCTGCTGAAGGAATCGATTATTTTATCAAACCGTTTGAAAGAAAGCCCGTCTTTCTCGTCATTTTCCTTCACTTCGATGGGTGGTGGGACCTTCATTGATGACTCCACAATTGAAAAGAGGTAGATAACATAGTTTAGTCGAAACAGAGCGATGTCAATTCCACTTTTTGACTGTCCGCTTGCACAGTACTCTTTACAGTACGCGACAATAACCTGTCTCAAGTACTTAATGCACTTTTCTGTGAGTATGATCCAACGCCCTTTATTGTTTGCAAGTTGTGGATCCTCCATCAGGACATACTGGTGTGTGAGACCGACGAGTCGGGAATACACCTGGTTGACTGTTTGTAACTTTCTATTTTTAATTGGGTTTCCAAATTTTTATAGCTTCAAATGTTCGGTTATTCCAAACATCAAAATCACAAGTTGTCACTTTTAGTATTTAAGGCAGGAAAATGGAAGGAAAGACAAACTGACTGGAAGCACTTTGTTGGACAAATCATCCATCGACATGTGCGAAGGAAACAGATCGTCCTTTTTGATCTCATCAAGCGACATAACGATCTCTTTTGCCAAAACCTTTTTGTCAAACGCGCTCTTTTTTATAAATAAATGTATCAGTTCAAAATAAACCGATTTGAAAAAAAACAAAGTTCATAGAAACCACCGAGGATGAAAACACAAACTGGTGTCGAAACGGGTGCCATTGATGTCGATTTTCTCATTGTTATTGGTTAAACTGAATTTCCAGTTTAGTAAGTTTGTTCTAAATCAAAAGTATTTTTTTATTATTACTACTTATTTCTATTTTTTACTAAACAATTGACTTTAAAAAACTGTCTCAAATACTATAAAAAGAATAACAAAATAGATTATAAGTATAGTTTTTTTTATGGAAATTGTATTATTGGAAAAAACAATTATAAAGTAAATTAAATGGTTAAATTGATTTTCGATGTATAAATTTAACCATAAAAAGTTATCAAAAGTTTTAAAAAATGAGCAAAAATATTACAACAAATAAATTATATTTATATATCTAGTTGATTTAAAGTATCAAATATAGTATTTTCCATTTTTTAAACATAAAATTAACAACTAAAATATTGGTGCCTATTGTATCTTTCATTTGGAACTTAATAACAAATAATTTTATACCATTTGTCATTATTCAATTATTTGAAATAGTTCATATTTTTTTAGTATTGTTGTGGCTTCCTACTATTATAATTCTAAATTTTTAGTTTGTTTTTAATATAATTAAAGTTTGTTCAATTCAAGTATAAATAAATAAATTTTATTATAATTTTACCAAATTAATATAATAATAACTTTTTTCAATTGTATTAAAATTATCTTATTGATTTAATTATAAATATTATATTTATAATGAAACTATTTAATTATTATAAGTTTGAAATTAAGTAAATATTATCATTTAATAACTATTCTATTGTTTGATTATAATTTATGACTTTAGTAAATAATATTAACGATTTACTATAATGAAGTGTTAATAACCAAAAAGCATAATTTTTCAATAGTCAATGTTATTTTTCAGAATCCAACGGCAAAAATTAGAAATGCTTTCCAAATAATAATAATAAAATAAATTAATTAAATTTAAAATGAAAACAAAATATTGTAATTACTTTTTCTATTTTAATTGCTCCGACTTTTTATCCCAATACAATCCATTAAAAGTGTGTAAATCGTCCCTAATAGAAACTCAAGCAACTTTTATTGCCAAAATTTTGAACGAACAAAAAAAAGCAGCCAGCTCTTCGAGTAGAAAACTCTGTTTTTTTTCAATAATATAAAGACTGTGTTTGTTTCCTTCATTCAATCAATGCAAATACAAACTGAATCTCCTGTGCCCTCAGCGATTTCTCACTCATCATCTACTTCTCCTTCACCAAGCGAAGTCGAGATGCAAGTGGTAGAAGTTGATGAAGGATACAAAGAAGAAGAGATAGAACCAATCTACAAGAAGCATCCCAATTGTTGTCAGATTTTATTAATGCAACGCGCTCCCAAGTATATTAGTAAAGGTCGCAAAGGGTCTTTGAATGTGAAAGAAATTGGACAAATTCCGTCGACTCTAAATATAGAGAAAACACACGAGAAGTTCACGAAATGTTGGGAGACTGAGATGTTGAAACATCCGAAGAGTCCATCACTGTTACGAGCTTTATTCCGAATGGAGTGGAAACAATTACTATTATGTATTTTAGCAATGTTCATCTCACAGTTGTCGACATTGATCATGCCAGTACTTATCCAATTCATGACACGGTGGGTTTCTGAAGAAAACCCAAAGACATATGTGGGTGTCTTATATTTACTTGGAATAGCTGCACTTCAAGTGATCACCTCCTTTTGTTTCCAGATGTCAATCAAGTGGATGTTTGTGTTGTCACTTCGCCTCAGAAATGGGTTGATTGCCATGATCTATGCAAAGTCCTTAAAACTGAATTCTGCTTCGATCGAAGAGACGGGGAAGTTAGTGAATTTAATGTCAAACGATGCAATGTTATTTGTCGAGCAATTGCCTTTAGTGATAAGTGGGGGGACTGCACCTCTTCTCTTTCTCATTGTGTGTATTATATTATTAGTGTTAATAACATATTGGGCATTGATTCCAATAGGAGTCTGTCTACTCTTTGTAGTTATCAATATGATATCTGGGAGGTTCATTGGGTTCTTCTTCAACTTGACACAACATGCCACAGACAATCGACTCAATTTCTTAGGTGAAATACTTAGGAGCATCAAATTCATCAAATATAATGCTTGGGAAAAGCCGTTAAATTCTCGACTTCACAAATTGCGAAATAAAGAGCTTTTCGCTATGGTCGGGACTAACACTGCAAGAGCGTCGTTGGTGACTATGATGCTTGAGTTAACTTCTTTAATGGCTTTTGTACTCTACTTGGTACTCATTTTGTTGAAAAAGAAACTTGATGTAGGCACTGTCTTTGCGTGTATAGCTTACTTCAATTGTATCAGAGTCCCATTCATGAATTTTGGATATTTCATATCATCGGTGTCGATGTTCAAGGTGTCCATTGGGCGTATGGAGGAATTCTTTTTGACTCCCGAATTGCAGAAACAAGACCGTTCGACCACCACTCAGACTGATTATGCGGTCGATATGAAAGATGTCCGCTACGTGTTTCCCAATGGGGAGACTGCATTTTCCTGTGACAATTTGAAGATCAAAAAGGGTGAATTAGTCTGTGTTTTAGGCAGTGTAGGGTCCGGGAAGTCATCTTTATTAATGTCGATTTTGGGAGAATTGGAGCTGAAAGAGGGGGAGACCAAAGTATCTGGGGAATTGACTTATGCGAGTCAAACTGCTTGGATGATGAATACCACAGTAAGAGAGAATATCATCTTTTTAGATAAATTTGACCGCACTCGATACAATAAAGCGTGCACATGTGCTTGTTTAAATCGTGACTTACAGATCTTAAGAGGGGGCGATTTATATGAAGTTGCCGAGAGAGGGTCCAACTTGTCAGGAGGACAGCGACAGAGGATATCCATAGCGCGGGCTTTATATAACGCAAAGGATATTGTTATGTTTGATGACCCATTAAGTGCAGTCGACTTCCAAGTTGGCAGTTTCATCTTTGAGAATGCCATGGAAGGGTTGTTATCTGGCAAGACACGGATTATAGTCACCAATCAGACTTATTTCATTGATAAAGCTGATCGAATCATTGTCATCGAAGACAAGAAAATAGCGTTCAATGGTACAATAGACGAGTTGAGGAATTCCAACATCTCTGCGGCTGAAATAGTCAAGACAGTGACAAAGAAGAAAGAAAATAAGAAGAAGGAAGACACGGAAACGGTCCCACAAGATGTTGTAGCGACTGAAGTGATTGAAGAGAAAAGAAGTGTAGGTGGTGTTGCATGGAGTACATATTTCAGATACTTCAGTGCTGGTGGCTTCTTCTGGCTCTTCCTCTTAATAGTTCCATTTATATTAAGGTGTGGTACTCGTATCTGTTATAACCTTTTCCTTACATGGTGGACGAATCAAATAGATGAGGAACACCCACAAGGGGATACTTATTGGTTCTATGCAAGTGACATTGCATTAGGTGTTGGTATCCTTTCAATCTTCATATCTATGGTATGCATCTCACTTTATGGCTTGTTGTGTGCAAATGGATTACATAAGATGATGGTTAAGAATCTGTTTGGGACGTTACTTTCGTTCTTCGATGTCACGCCACTTGGAAGACTGTTGAACTACTTCTCAAGAGACTTGAGATTTGTCGATTCAAGACTTCCACAACAATATGAACAGTTCTTCGGACAGACTTGTGACTTAATTGCGATATTTGTAGTCATTTGCACGTGTTCCTATTACCTCATTATTGTGGTGGTTTTCATTTTGGTCGCTTTCATGTGTTTCCATAAGTATTTTGTGAGGTCGTCCATTGAAATGCAGAGATTGGAAGGTATAACGCGATCGCCAATGTTCATTCATTTTGATCAGACTCTCCTTGGTCTTTCGACCGTGAGGACATATGGTGGGGCTCCGACCTTTTTAGAAGCCATAATTAAGAAGATGAAGAACAATACCCTTTCTTATTACACATTACAAATGGCCAAAAGTTTGTTGGTACTTTATAAATAGATAACAAGTTATTAATAGAATAGGTTGGTATTCACAACGATTGGACTGGTTAGGTATTATTTTAGCTGTAGCCACTGTGACTGGGATAGTGATAATGAAAGTGGAAGACAGCATAGATTCTGGTGTTGCTGGTGTTGCTCTTATGAACATAGCTACACTTGGGGGGTTCATTACAGTCTTTTCACAGAACGTCTTAGAAGTCGAAATTGTGATGCAGTCTGTTGAACGAGTGTTGGTCTTGCGAGATACTCCAGTTGAAGATACTAAAGAGAAGAAGGCGAAGTACACAATACCACCAGACAACTGGCCAGTACAAGGCAAAATCGAGTTAGACAACTATCAGTTCAAATACAGAGAAGGTCTTCCATTGGTTCTGAAGGGAGTCTCTGCTGTCATTCATGACAAAGAGAAGATTGGTGTGGTTGGACGAACTGGTTCTGGCAAATCTACGATGATGGCTGGACTTTTTAGAATTGAAGAACCTGCCGGTGGGTGTATTAAAGTGGATGGAATAGACACCACAACAGTTCCGCTTGAAATATTACGAAGTCGGATGTGTATATTGCCACAAGAAGCTACGATGTTCTCTGGTAACATAAGAGACAACTTGGACCCAACACACATGAAAAGTGATGAAGAGATGAAACGTGTGTTACAATTAGTCAAATTTGAAAAGGACTTGGACTACCAAGTCACGGAGAATGGTGAGAACTTCTCATTGGGAGAGCGACAGATGTTATGTATGGCAAGGGCGCTATTAAGAGGTGCAAAGATCTTAATTATGGACGAGGCGACTGCATCTATTGATATCCAGACGGACATTATGATTCAAGAAATGGTCAGAAAGAATTTCACACAATGCACGGTGTTAACTATAGCACACCGCCTTCATTCTATTATGGACTCAAATAAAGTAATGGTCTTCGATGATGGCCACTTGATGGAAATGGACACTCCAATCAATTTGATTAATAACACTACAACTATTTTCAACAATTTAGTCCAACAATCAGGCTGCCCAGACGAACTTACAAGACTCGCTAAAGGAGAAACTTCTATTGCAGAGACTCTGAAGAACACAGAACATAAAGATGAAGCTCACCAAGAACATACAGAGACTCTGGCTTTGGTGGAAAAGGAAAATACAGTTGAAAAAAGTGACACGTCATCATCAGACCATTCGAACCTTGTCGACTTGAAACCTATTAATAGTCCTATGCCCGTTGATTGCCACATCGTTGAAAAGACTCTCTTGAACAAATCATCATCTGACTGAGTATTTTGAAAATTCTGTTTACCATAAAATTATAATAAAATAATCATAAATGAACTATACAAAAGAGACTCTTAGAATCACCACACCGGGACATCACCGATACACTTCTTGGCTAAATATTTACTCCGTATTCTGCCGAGACAGACGCCAGACTCTTTGTAATGAACAGGAGTGTGTATCGGGTACTTCTTTTCAACTATTCTTTTGGACGTCTCCCATCCAAATCTGACGAAGTTTGGATAGCCGAAGACCGGGTCGTACGACTCTTTCATCCAATTGATAGTAACTAAATCGGTTGGGTACCCAAAACCACTAAACCCCTCTGTGTGCGTCTCTTTGAATATCCAACGCTCCAAACAAACATCGCGCGTCACTTTGGCTACTATACTTGCTCCACTCACTACCGGGTATTTGGCATCTGCTTTTGAACACACAGTGATACACTCCGGATCAATTTGTGGAAACGAATGTGCGATCATTGCCTTGTACTTTGCTGGAGGCCCGACAGTGTCAACAAAGACACCTTTAACTCCCCTCTGGGTGATGTTTAAAATCCGCGAGATGATAGTCCGAACAGCAGAGAATGCAACTTCGTTCAAAGAAATTTTAAGTGGTTGGCACATCTTTTTGTTAATGTCTGACGGAGTTAATACTTCACTGGAATACCCACAAAATGGACTGTTGTGGATGTCTGAATACAAAGACTCCCTTTGAGCTTTGTTAAGTACCTTCGAGTCTTTAAATCCTTCCTGTTACTTCATAATATATTTATAATACAATTATAATAAATAGATGGTTGTTTGTATTGTATTTTTTATAGTTTGTTAATAGTAAATAAGAAACCCATATCACTGACCTCGTCTGCGTCAGTCGTGAAAAAAGCAGTGTATACCATTGGACCAACAACAGGCCCACGCCCCGCTTCGTCAATACCAATTGTAATTTCACCATCAGTGTCCACTGCTTTGAATGTTGGAATTTGGTCTAAATCCTTTGCCATCTATAAATTTCAAAATTACAAGTTCTATAATACTTTATAGTTATTTTTTTAATAACAAATCACTAATATTGAATTAGTTTCAAAAACTTCAATGACTCTAGTATCATTTAATAGTTTTCAATAGAATATTAATTAAAAAATAAGAAATTATAATTGTTGATAAATGAAACTATAAATATAGTTTAAAAAACGAGATTACAAGATTTGAAATTGCTCTTATATCAATTTCCACATATAAATAATTAACTCTATTCTAGTCTAATTAAGTTCACCTCTTTAACTGGAAAAAGCATTCATGTCAGAAGACCGCTGGGCAGTTCCGTTCAAAGTTTTTGAACTTCCCGAGAATTGCAATTCCGACGAAGAAGTATTCGACGCACTGAAAGTGTGTGATACATACAAAGCAAAACAAGCGAAGACAAACCCAATATCAAAGAATGAGGAATTCGACGATATATCAACTTCTGCGATTGGGTACTTAGTACTTGATTATATTATCGCGCAGTTGTACGGAAAGTTTCGAGACAACAGAGTCAAGGCGATTGAAATGTCACAAAAATATTACATTGGATTTTTGAACGAGATGTCGCGCCTTTTGTTTGTGAAGAAGAGTGTTGTGGACGACTTGGTGAATAACGTTCAACTGAGTTCGGAGAATGCAAGGACGCAACGCGTTTCGCGATACCGAGAGAGCAAAGACGCGAAGAACAAACTCGAGATTTTGGAGAAAAAAAGAAAGGCAGGGTTTGCCGACGAAGAGGAGGAGAGGGAGTTCTTTACAGTATACTTCCGCGTTGCGATATTGGAGTCATTGGATAACTACAACTACCAACAGAAAGAATTTGATATGTTGAAGGAAGTTGAAAAGATGAAGAAAAATGGGACGTTCGAAGAGACAAAAAGGAGAGACGACCTCCTTGCGGAGAAGAGTCGAACAGACTTTAAAACGTTCACTATTCCTAAACAAGGCGCTCCTATCGAACAACCCGCGTTTGGTCAACAAACAAAACAACAATCAGTCGTCGACCAATTTGTGTATAAGCCAGAGCGTCTTGAAATACAGAAGAATGTCTTTAACCCACGTTTCAAGTACGGACGACTTATGACAGACGAAGACTTCAAAGAGGAAATGAGGACTGAATTGGCACCAAAAGACCCAAACCCGGAAAAGACATCGGCCGATGAAGATTCCGATAGAGAGACGGACGAGTCTCTGAAGGACAAAAGAGACTGGGACGAGTTCAAGGATCAACATCCCAAAGGGTCTGGAAATACATTGAATATGGGATAATTGAGTTGAATACAATACTATATAATAATTAAAAATAAACTATATTCAATAGTAGTAATCAAGTATAGTATACAATAATAAAAAAGTGTTCTTATGATAACACACCGTTTGAGAGTGTTGAAAAGTACATTAAAATGAATAATTGAAAAATCGGACGTTTTTCCATCCCAACACGAATTGCATCGTCTGAAATAGAATACTACCGAAAACTATAATAAATGGTTATTTAATTAAACTGTATAATAAACAGAGCAAAATAAAAATAAAATAAATACACACAGTGCAAAAAGAATGAACTGCGACCAAGGAAGTCAAACCTCTAAATTATAAGGCTTACTACTCTTTTATTATATTATATTATAACTATGGAACTTAATAAAACAAAAAGATGGCATCAAGCCCAATAAAGTGTGTAATAGAAGCTCCAAACGACCCGAACTCTCCTCCAATTGGAATTTATGGCCATACTCTCTGTTATGGAGAGAACAAAATGTACCTCATTGGAGGGTGGGTAGAGGCAGAGAAGAAGTACAACGACACTGTTTATGTCTTTGATTTCACTAAACTCACATGGGAGAGAAAGAACCCCGACCAATCCAACGTGAGTTTAGGAAGAAGTTATCACACTGCAACATATTATGAAAAGAACATTTATATAGTTGGCGGGTTACGGTATGAGACTATCATAGACACTATCGACGTTCTTGATGTGACTACATACAAACTGTCACACCTCAAACTCCCGAAGAAAGTCCAGAAGTACTTCCATTCAACTGTTTTGTTTGGCGATTCGTTATACATATACGGAGGAAGAACTCGTTCAAAGAGAGATAAAGATGTTGAGGTCTTCTCGAAAGAATTCTTCAGACTTGAAATTCCAAGACTCTTGTTGAACCCTTTGTCCTCTGCACAAGAGACGGACTTGATGCAAGAGAAACATGGCTCATTCCTTACAGCGGGTGGTGATATGTATGTGGTTGGTGGATTTACAAGTAAAGCAGAGACACAATTGATGAAGAGATATAACATTGGTGGGTCGTCTTGGGTTGCTTCTACTGCTCGACTTGAGATACCAAAGAACGAACTCCGCTTTGCTTATTTCAAAAATGAGGATTTTGCTGTTTCTGTTGGAGGAAACAAAGGAGAAGAAACCATCAATGACATTCATATGGCAAAGAAGATGAATAACCAAATGTGTATCTTCTCGTACACTCCAGACAGTGATTTGCTGAAAGAAAAGACTTGGGGAAATGCAGTCTTGGCGTTTTCATTGAACAACAAGAACTCTTTTATGGTGAGTATTGGTGGTATTAACACCACTCACAGAATGCTCATCTGCTCTGTGAGTTCGTCAAGTTTCAAGTTTGAGGACATGAAGGCTGTTTCTGAAGATGAAGTAAAAATAGAGTCTAAAGTTAGAGTCGAGTCTTCGTTGTATTCTTTCCTTGCCGACAATAAGTTGACGTGCTTACTCAAACAACTCTTTGAGGCGGGTTACAAAACAAAGGAAGAGTTATGTAGAGTAGGAAGGTATGAGTTAGATAAAGCTGGGTTTAAGCCAGGGTTTGCTCGGCAATTAGTTGATGCTATTGCAAGGGACAATTCATCACATTCGACTACAATGAAATTGCATGGTGAATTTAAGTACTTAACTGGATGTGAAACGCAACAAATGATTGGGCACGGATCATTCGGTATGGTGTACAAAGGCACATGGCTTGGAACCACTGCAGTTGCGATGAAAGAGATTCAGAAGATGTCCGACGACCCCGCCAAAATAGCAGAATTAGAGAAAGAGGCGTCAGTCACACAGATGATGAAGCATCCAAATTTGATTACGATGTATGGGCTCTTTAAAAGTGACGATTCCATATTCATGGTGTTAGATTTGTGTAATGGATCTGTCGATGATCTGTTGCATAAAACTCCAAAGGCGGTGACATACAAACAACGTGTAAAAATGTGTGTTGATGTAGCCACTGGGATGTCCTATCTTGCGTCACTTAAAGTGGTCCACAGAGATTTGGCTGCACGTAATTTGTTGTATTTGAATGATGTTGGAGGACAATATATCACTCGTGTGGGCGATTTGGGTCTATCAAGACAAACAGCTTCGGGTAACTACGAGAGTAGCACTGCTGAACCGAAATACCCAAAGAAGTGGACACCACCCGAAATTGCTCAACCAGGCGAATTCCATTTCAAGTTCTCGACTACTTCAGATATCTGGTCATATGGTGTCACCCTATGGGAAATCTTCAGTGACGCCGCAACACCATACTCTTCCGTTGGAAACCAAGAAATCATGCAGAAAACATTTGAAGGTTTGAGACTCGAAGAACCAAAGATGCTTTCAGAGGCAGAAGAAAAACATGGTCATGAAATTTGGCAGACGGCATTCAAGTGCTTCAATAAAATACCTTCACAACGACCAAGATTCAAAGATTTGTACAAGGATTTGAAATCAATACTTGATGTCCTGCCAGACGAAGAAGCTGTAGTCGAAAAAGTCGAGGAAGAAGTTGAAGACGACAAATACGAGTAAGTAAATGCAATTTCTAAAGTTGAGTTTGTGTTTAGTAAATAATTTAAAGAAAAAAGAACTGTGAAGTATAAATAATGATTGTGGTTATGATGATGATA